GGCATTTTAATGTTTTTCTTTGATATAGTAATGTTCGTATTAATATTACTGGATATTTATGTTTTTTTTTATTAAATTGATGTTACTAATATCAGTTTAATATTGCTATTATTAATAACAATAGAATTAATATTAGTATTTATATTACACATAAAACTGTAATATATTAAACCTTATATGGCATAATAACTAAATATGAAAATAGCCCCGATTTAAACCCAATTGAGAATCTATGGTCAAGATTTTTTTTTTTTAGTTTAGTTTATTAGTTTATTTCGCCGTTAAAAATATTTACAAAATACAACAATATAAAAAGTACAATTGGCTGAAGCAAGAAGAAGGCATAAAATAGCCTTATCACCGAGCCCCAATAGTAACGCAAATAAATATCCGTAATACACAATAATCCGTAATATATAAGCAAAAGTATTTAAAAAAAGACAATTTAAAATGTTAAGAAACAAAGTTAAAAAGAAAAAAAAGAAAAAAAAAAAGTATTAAAATAATTGAAGATAAATAAAAAAAATAAAAAGAAATGATTAAAATATAGTAATAAAAATGACAAAAATTTTCTGTTTTTGGTTATAAATTGGATGTGATTCGACATATATATTTGTATATATTATTTCAAAATAGTTCAAAATTCAGATAAAAATTCTGTTCCAATATTATAAAATATATCAAGAAAATTGTAGGTAACTTTAAGAGAATATATATATTCAATGAAAGTATGATAAAGACATTGAAATTCTTAGTACTGTTAAATGGTCTAGATTTTTAAATTTATGGTGCTAATTTAGTTTAATAAATTTTAAAGCTTTAAAAGTGACAGAAGATCTGCTATATTAAAATTCGTAAGTACTAAATAACGTCTTAATTTAGATTTGAATTGCGGAAGTGTTTTTTCTTTAATATTAACAATATGCTGAAAGTTTTTCCACAAAATTGGACCCGTGTACTGAATTGAATAAGAACATAACTTTAAATTATACTTTTGAGTTACAAAGTTATTTTCTGAGAACTTGGTGGGGTATTTATGGCTTACTTCTCTAAAATAAGGATAGAATATTGCTGGAGACAGTCCATGTTTTATTTGATACATGAACTGTATGACGAGGAATATGTTAATTTTAAACACATTTAATGCATTGAGTTTACGTAAAAGTGGCTCACAAGGTACAGTTCTTTTAACTCAAAATACAATTCTACATGCATGTTTTTGTTTAGTATGAATTTTCTTTAACTTAGCGTAGCTGTTGCTTGCCCATGCGATATTGCCGTAAGTTAGATAGCTATGTATGAAGGAAAAATATAAACTTTTTAGAGATCTTATATCCAAGAATGGTTTTGCTTTATACATCATTGCAATGTTTATTGAAAGTTTTCTTTCAAGAGTGTTTATATGTTTCCTCCATGTTAAATTTTCGTCTAAAATAAGCGCATGGTTGGTGTTAAACATCCCAATAATAAGCAAGAACTTATTGAGGCAATAACTAATTCTTGGTACCATCTAATTACTCCTGAAGATTTAAAAATACTTGTGGATTCCATGCCAAGAAGGTGTCAAGCAGTTATTGCTTCAAAAGGATATCCCACACGTTATTAAGCTTGTCATTGCTAAAAAACTGATACTTACAATGTTATAATATAATATGAATATTTTTTATATGATGCTATTTGCTGATCTGACCATAAAATTTTGTACTATTTAGTGAATTTCATAGAAAAGGGCAATTATTTGGTGCAGTTTTTGTTAACTTTTTACTTGAATTTTGTTTTATGAACTTTTTGAGTGCAATAAATAGTATTTTTTTGCTTACTCATTTATTTTGTAATAAATCCATGTGCGTGTTCACAATTTTGTCCACGAGTGTATGTTTAGTAATATTACACATATAGTTGTAGTTTTTAGTACAGTTGATAAACGCCTTCGTAAACAAATCAAACAATTTTAACACAATAGTTTTTAATTATAAAATACGAAATAAATATAAGAAAATATTTATAAAATACGAAATAAATATAAGAAATAATTATAAAATACGAAATAAATATAAAATACGAAATAAATGTAAGAAATAAATATAAAATACGAAATAAATATAAGATATTTTTCTTTAAAGTAATTATTATAAGTTTATGCACATGAATTAATTACTTTTATTTTTTATTAAAAATAACATTTTTAAATGTTTTTGTTGCAAAAAAAATTCTGGAGAGAACCTTAAGCATTTTTAATTGTATTAGTAGCAAAAAATTTCTAGAGGGAATCTTCAACAAATACCTATATTTCTCAAGTTATAAATATTTTGCAAACAATACGTCAAAGCACATCATTAAATCTAATCGGATCTTAGTTAATTTTAAAAAACCATACCTAAATAAGTCAAACGCATTACATTTTCTCGATAACATTGTGTTACATGAGAAACTTGAGTTCAAGCATTAGTATTTCTATCTCAAATTTAAGTATTTGAAAATGTGTGTAAAGCTTAAGCTTCATGACAGATCAAGTTATGAAGTTAATTTATACCAATAATTTTTACAGTATTTTAGAATTCTAAACCTAATTAGGTTGGAATCAATTAGCTTATAAGCTAACTTTATAATTGATCTTGAATTTACATGCAGTCGTTTTAACCATGTCTTCCACTTTACCATTTATTAAGGTTGCTTTTTTGGTTGCTACAAATCATCCAATATAATTGGTTACAATATCTCTTAATTTTTTCCAACGTCGACTTGTCAAAACTTTCAAGATTTCAATGTAAACAACGTGAAGTTTAAATAAATTGTTAATAATAAATTTAAAAACAAACTCAATAATTACATTAAAGTTTAATTTTTTTAGTACTCTATTTTAATAAAAATCTAAATAAGTCTGAAGACTTATTTAGTTTGTTATTCAATAATTTTAAAATTTTGCAATTTCGCAACTGTTATATTGCCGTGATGAAATCAGCAGGAGATTATTTGGCAAATGCGTAAATGACCTAAAGAAAAACCCAGATAATTCTAACACTCTAAGCGACTGAAAGCAGACATGAGTTTTTTTAACTTTTGAATTAATTTTTGCCATAAAGCAAATGAATTAAAATTTGCCATAAAACTATGCAATTCATAAATTTCTGAAAAAATACAACAGAACTCTTTAAAAATTTTTTTATTTCAAGTGTGTAAATATTCCACTGAGTCCTAAATCCTAAATAACAAAAGTCTACTATAATTTAACTATGATTGTAATTTTGGGGATAAACTTATCAGGAACATCAGAGGACAAAATTTCTACCAACTTTTATAAAGTTGATACCATCCGTCAACTCTCTCTGTGGTAAAAGAATCACCCAGTTTTTGAAGCGCTTGTTTGACATTGTTGAATACAGTCATATTTTCAAATCCAAGAAGTTGAAAACGATCTTTCTGTCGTGCAAAATGTTGCAAGAACTTCTAAAATTAAAATTGTTATGTTACATAAGTTTGGAATAAATTTTTTTTTATTTTCTGAAATGGTGTAAAATATCATGGAGTTTCGTGATCTCAAAGTTTTTAATACATTTGTATTAAAAACTTTGAGAGTTTTTAATACAAATGTATTAAAAACTCTCAAAGATACGCCGTCAGTATCAGAATTGTATATTTCAATAATATTCAGGTATATTATTTTCGCAATCAATTCCTTGAATTATATTTAATAACGCAGTGTACAATTTTTAATAGCAAAATGCAAGTTTCTCCTTAGTTCTTTGCAACAATTACTCGAGTGATATTTCCAAATTAATGTTTTGGAATGTTAATAAATCTATTTATTATAATGATTAAATCCTATAAAAAATTATATACATTACACAAAATAATAATAATAAACCGTATTCTATAATAAATCGTATTTCTATAATACAATTTATTATAGAAAATAAGATGTATTAAGAAACCCTTACGTTGAGCTTTCTATAATTTGAATCTCTAAAATTAGGGTTCTAGGAAATAATCCCCAGAAAAAATCCAATTGGTTAGACTGCCAACCCTTTGGTTATATTTGAACAATCTACTGCGCCTGTCCCCTTATTCAGTCAATCGATTTATGGACACTCTCCTTTTTTTCGAGTTGGTGTGTTGACACTTCTCTGCACCTGTTTCTATTTTAGTCATTCAATGAATGATTACTCCACTGTACCTGTTCTTAATAAAGTCAGTCGATTTATGGACACATTGCGCCTTTTTATAAATATCAGAACTTTTTATTAATTTTTTTATCGGGATTTTTTCCTGCAACCAAAATTTGATAAATTCTGTAATTCAGGACTAGTCAGAAAAATTCCCCATATTTCAGTCAGTAAATATTTTCCGCAACGAACATTCTGGAAATTTACAAAAACGTCAGTTACACGTCGCAGCAGTTATTATTATTTTTTTTGTAGGTATGGTAATTATATCGAATAGGGAAGTAAAAGTCACTGGAGGTGGCCTATAAATCATTTTTTCAAAAATTTTTTTTGGCGGCGGCTGCTTACAGTTTGTCTACCGGTTAGCGGCGGTCTTTGCTTTCTAAATCAAAATTTCGGGGGCGAATCCGCCAATCGGGACGAAAATTTCAGGGAAGCCGAATAGCTACAGAAAAAAAAGTAGAGGCAAAGCAATTTCCGCCACTCATGAACTATGTGTAGTCATAAATTTCAAACACTAACATATTGTTAGATAAAATTCGAAATCTGTCAATGAATATAAAATTAGTTTACATAGGTAAAAATAAAAAATTCAGCGATACATAGCCATCACATTTGGGTTTAGATAATTTTGTTCCTAGGTTTGAACCGCAGCTGGTATCGAAAAAACATCCCTATTTGATATTATCATAAACATATCCAAGTTTGAAATTTGTTACAAGTCAGAAAGACTACTTTAAACAGTATGAAAGGCTGGCACAATATCTGTTTTTTGCGTTTATACCATGCCTTTTTACTTATATTTAATGAAACATACAAAAGAAACAGTTTGGTATATATTATTACTTTAAATTTTATTACTTAAAAAAACTCCCTAAAAAATTTATCTCCTAAAAAACTCCTAAAAGAATTCTACTGTAACAGAGTTTACTATATAATACAATGAAAGAAAAATACTATTAATACTTGTAAGAAAAAATAATATTAAAAAACTAATATTTAAAAATTTTTTATAAATATAAATTAAAAATTTGTTTCATATTTCGTAATTAATGACTCTCGAACAACATATCCTCCTTTCATCCTTTTATATTCTTGATTTAGTGACCAATTTTTCAAATCTTCATTTTTTCCTTGGTATTTGAAACCTTGTGGTCCAACAACTTTTAACGCTTTTTCATTATCATATCCAGTAGGTGAAGGCATAGAAAATACAAGAACTTTTATTCCAAATTTTAAATCTTCGCATAAAATAGCATCAAAGGTATCAACATCTACAATAGAAATTAGGTTTGGTGTGCAACAAAGATTTTCACCAAACTTTGGAACAAATTGAACAATTTTTGTTTCATTATTTATAACTTTATCAACTTCTTGGGCTAAAAGATTTTCATTTTGAATACAAATTCTGTAGAACTTGTTGTAAAAAGTCTTATCGTTTTCATCGAAAGAATCTCCTTGAATAATTACAAACCCAATATTATACGCATTTTCAATTACTCTTCTGCATTCTATAATCTTCCCTTTTATTAACAAACTCGCGTTTTCTTCATTTTCAAGAACTTTCATGAAATCTTCACGATTTTTACGAGCGGAGAGGATGGATCTTCCAATACGCCAACACTTGCTAAGCGAATACTTTACACCGAAATTCTGAACTTGATCTTTACTAATGGGACTTAAAGCAATCGATGCAGTATTGCTTATTAATCCACATATATTTCTAAAATGGGTCTCAAGCACTTCTTGATCATTTTCATGAATTTTTGGTACAACAAAGACATTATCATGATCGTCGGCTAACGATATAGGTAAAACTTGTTGATTATTTATCGCTAGAATAGTCATAGAAACTTTAGGAAAAGCTCTACCCATTAAATCAGCGTCAACTACAGGAATACCATAAATAGCCGCTAAAGCTAAAGGAACTAAAGAATTTAATCCTCCAACTTCTGCTGAAACTACGTACTTTATATTTTTATCATTGTTATAATAGCCTTTTATAGCTTCGAAAGAATTCACTATTTCTTTTAAATTACATAACTTTTCAAATATGCAATTAGGGGCTCCAAAAAAAGCGACAGGCACAGCTAAATCTTCTTCTTCCATATCAGAAGGAGAAATGACTCTAATTTTCTTTCCTTGCTCCAAGAGGTCTTTACAAATTAAGAAGAACATGTAGGGAGATCCACCTCCTCCGCTTCCTAATATACTTCCTCCAAGTGCAATGAATTTTATATCTTGCAACGATAAATTCCACTCGTTTCGTTTTAAGTCAGGAACTGCAATCATTTCAGTATTTTTTAAAAAATCTACTGTATTTTCGATATGTTCTGCTTCGATATTTATTACGCTGGCGTTATTGGTGTTTTCTACTATATCTTCGTCCGTAAGGTACGAATCGAAGGATTCTTCAAAACATCGGTTTTCGCTTTGCATAGAATTTTCCTCTAAATTGTTAATTTTTTTTTGATTTTCTCTATTATTTTTTAACAATCTTAGATTAAGACTTCCAACAACTTTCACAAATAACTCCAGTGATCCATCATTAGTGTATGCCATTGGAGATTCTGTCAACTCTGTTACTGTTGTAAACTCCTTTATTGCTCCACGTTTAACAGCTTTTTCGATTGCATCAAATATTAATTTTTTTTTTATATGACTTTTAATTTTTATACTTCCACCATCAACAATTGTTGAATTTTTTTCACTAATTTTAGTGATAGCCGCACCAATAGCATTGGCTACATCAAAATCATGAGGCAAATAAACCTCAGAAATTCCTACATCTTTTAATTTTTTTTTCAATTCTTTTATTGGAACAATGCAACTTCCTCCACCAACTAAAACTAAAGGAACATTTGCAGAGTTTGTTTTAACTGATTCTACGCATTTTTTAATTAAAACTAATATTTCATTTTTAGCTTGGATACATTCTTCTTCTGATGCTCTAATACTGTCTACTTTCATATAATTAAAATTACAATTTGTGATACAATATCCGAGTTTCAAAGCCACATCTGTTGTCGTCAAATACATTCCACCAAATGCTTGACCTCCATCTTCAGTAGTTAATTTATAACCAACTGATTCTGGTCCTATCTTACAAAATCTATTATCAAACTTTATTTTACTCCCTCCGCCAAGACCAATAGACTTAACGTTTATCATTTTTGCATTGAGTCTTATACCACCTATACTAATAAATGCTTTGCTTTCTGTTGGACAGTAATTTTTTATTTCCCCTACATCGCACGTAGTTCCTCCAATATCAGCAACAATATAGTTTTTCTCTCTAACAAGAAAACCAGCTCCTCGAAGAGAGTTTATTGGTCCTGAGGAAAATGTAAAAACTGGAAATTTTTCAATATAATCACTGGAAGCTAAAGTTCCATCATTTGTCGTAAAATAAAATTTATTTTTGAATCCAAGTTCTTTAAATGCTTTTGTGAAAGATTTAACTGTTTTAAAGGCGTATTCTCTTAAAGATGCATTTATGATTGTAGCATTTTCTCTTTCAATTAACCCAAGCCCGCCCAATTTATGACTTAGAGAAATAGTGAATCTAATTTTTTCCTTGTTAAATATTTTGCTCGCTATTCTTTGTACTTTTAATTCTTGCTCTTTGTTAACCGAAGCAAAAACTCCAGTTACAGCAATATTTAAAACAGAAATTTTATTATTTCTGTAATGTTTAACCAGCTCAAACATTACCTTCTTTACTTGATCTACATCGAACTTAGTTGATTCAAAGCTGCCATTATGATTAAAGCCTCCAGACAAATATATACATTTATCGTTTTTATTACTAGGTTCTGTAAGTTTTAGATTTTTACATTCTTCTTTTGTGAATTGAAAATCACCTTCAATCCTTTCTCTCAAATCATTTGGAAAGTCGATAAAAGGATAAAGAGAAGTTGTAGACGGTCCTGAAATTCTAATCACTTGAACTTTTTTCAAATTTTCAGATCTTTGAATGACCGAATTAACAAAAGCGGTAGTTCCTATCAGAATTGAAGAAATCATTTCTATTTGTATTTCTTTGAATTTTCCAAATTCTTTTTGAGTCTTTTCTTGTACATCTTTTTTCAAAGCTGTAATTATTCCGTTTTTTAATCCTGATTTAATGTCAGCAGTGGTCGGGACTTTACATTTACTCATTATTTTTACTTCTGGCATCTTGAGAATGACCAAATCAGTATTTGTTCCACCAACATCGATTCCAATCACATAATGAATTTTTAACAAGTCCTTTAATTTTTCTTTGTAAAATTCAAAAAACTCATCTTTCGTAAGAGAGTTTTTTAATGAATTTGATTTGGAAAATGATTCAAATATTTCAGACTGAACTTTTCTTTGATCGTTATCAGCGTCTTGAAGAAATGTATTTTGGTCAATAACGTTAATTTTATGAAGAAGATCTTGATAATGATTTAAAAAGTCATCTTTATTTAAAACTATTCCATCTTTAGACCACGATTCAAATAATTCGTCTTTAGTTTTGTAAAATTCTTTGCACATATTCTTTTTTACTTTCTAAAATGATTTTAAGTTAGTTATATATAATTTTTACTTTCTAAAATGATTTTAAGTTAGTTATATATATATATATATATATATATATATATATATATATATATATATATATATATATATATATATATATATATATATATATATATATATATATATATATATATATCCAGGGGCGGATTCAGCACTTTTTGGCATTGAAAAAACACCAAACATTTATATGTCAAATAAGGATGCTTTGCACAGAGGCATCCTTATTTAAAAGTTATATTCATCGACAAATTTAATAATATAATCCATCAGCATTTAAAAACTTTAATGTTTAAAGATTATTGTATGAAATTTAAAATTTATCGATGAATATAACTTTAATTAAGAGTAGTAAAAAAAATATTTTATCAACTTGCTGTTCTCATGTTTTTATCAACTTGCTGCTCTCATGTTTTTATCAACTTACTGCTCTCATGTTTTTATCAACTTGCTGCTCTCATGTTTTTATCAACTTACTGCTCTCATGTTTTTATCAACTTGCTGCTCTCATGTTTTTATCAACTTGCTGCTCTCATGTTTTTATCAACTTGCTGCTCTTATGTTTTTATCAACTTGCTGCTCTCATGTTTTTATCAACTTGCTGCTCTCATGTTTTTATCAACTTGCTGCTCTCATGTTTTTATCAACTTGCTGCTCTCATGTTTTTGTCAACTTGCTGCTCTTATGTTTTTATCAACTTGCTGCTCTTATGTTTTTATCAACTTGCTGCTCTCATGTTTTTGTCAACTTGCTGCTCTCATGTTTTTATCAACTTGCTGCTCTTATGTTTTTATCAACTTGCTGCTCTCATGTTTTTATCAACTTGCTGCTCTCATGTTTTTATCAACTTGCTGCTCTCATGTTTTTGTCAACTTGCTGCTCTCATGTTTTTATCAACTTGCTGCTCTCATGTTTTTATCAACTTGCTGCTCTCATGTTTTTGTCAACTTGCTGCTCTTATGTTTTTATCAACTTGCTGCTCTTATGTTTTTATCAATTTGCTGCTCTCATGTTTTTATCAACTTGCTGCTCTCATGTTTTTATCAACTTGCTGCTCTCATGTTTTTATCAACTTGCTGCTCTTATGTTTTGGCAGTTGTGGACAAAAGTTTGTGGCTATTTTGTTCTCATACTTTAATCGCTTTAATTTTTCGCAAAGCATTCTTATTTGATATAAATATGAACATATAAATGTTTGGTGTTAGCTCCATGTCAGGAAGTTAGAAGTTTATCTCAAAAATCAAAAAATGGTGGATCCCTCCCTGATATCCATATATATTGTAAAGAATATAAACATTAAAGCCATTAAGTTTATAATGATGTATAATAATATTAATTTACATATAAAAAATATTAAAATAATTTAAAATTATATAAAATATAATAATACAGTGGTAAAACAGTTTTTATTAATCACACTGTTTTTGTTTTTACATACAACTTCGTGGTGTATCGTGCACGTATACTTTTTTACACAAAATACTATAGTGTTTGGTGTATTTCCAACACTAATTTAGTATTAATTTAGATCTGGCTTTGTAATTAGATAAAAAAAAAAAAAGTTAAAAATACATTACCTTATGTCAAAAAGGTGGGCAGCAATTTAAAGCAATTCTTACCTATAAAAAGTTTCAAACAAAAAGTAATTTATAACAAATAATATTCATACACATAACTACTTATGTATGTTATACACATTTGTTCTAGTTACTATCTAATCATTAAAAATTATATTGCTATGATCTTTAAAAATATCTTTACAGTGCAGATACATATAATGATTTTAATTGCTGACATTGCATTTGGAAATGTTGGCAGTTGTTTTCAATCTTTATTGATAAAAAAAGACTTGTTTTTAAAAATAACAACCGCCAACATTTCCAAAAATGATTTTAAAAATCAAAGATACTCCAAGTTGGAAGTATTAAAAAAAAACAGTTTGATATATATAATATGAACAAGCTTTGTTTTCTCAGCCACCACAACACCTTCAATGCATAGAATATATTTGTCCTGAAACAAGTGCTCATGTAAACTTCTTCTGATTTAACAGGGTTCCCACTATTAAAACTAAGGCTAAAATTAAAAATTTTAAGGAGATTTAAGGAGACAAAAATAGGTTTGAAAACTATATATTATCTTCTTTATTAACATAATCCCCATTTACTATAAAAAATTTTCTAGATGAATAAAAAAAAAAAATAATAAGGAGAAATTAAGGAGAGCAGTCAAATTTTTTTAAGGTTATTTAAGGACATTTAAGGAGGTTTTTATTTTTTTAAGGATATTTAAGGTTTTTAAGGAGGGAACACTGTTTATGCTGAAAAAAGATTTAAATAATGATTTAAATCTATTAAGACAATTAAAGAAAGGTTTAAATAACACATAACTATTAAAAGCTTGGTGACATCCTAAAATTACAAAAAAAAAAAAAAATTTTTAATCCTAGTTAAGGCTGTAAAAAACTTTTGACTTACCAGCATGAAAAGTATTTCAACCTTTAACTTAGCAGCAAATGAAACTTACTTTACAACTTTTAACTTATTTATTTTATTTATTTATTCTTTTCATCACCCAAATTACAGGGGAAAAATACGAAGGTCATAAAACTAATAGTTTGTACTCTAAGTTAAAATTCTAATTTAGATTCTTCTTGAAGTGCTTTCTTCCATCAAATTTTTGATTATCATTCTCTGATTTTCCAGAATTTAAAGTATTGGTTTAAAATTTCTGCTATATTATCTTCTACTTAACAGCATGAAAATTACTTTAACTATGACATACTTGTGAAGTCTTCGGTGCCTTTCTCAGGAGATCTTCATTTGAACCTAAACATTAAAAAAAAACGTATACACATGCATACCAATTTGTTATATATGTTCATATATAACACATACACACAATCATAGGGTTGTAATCTTTAAACAGTTTTCTATTAGTTAGATTAAATTTAATCTAATAATAAATTTTAGTCAGATTTTATTTACTAATTATTAATAGGATTAAAAAGCTTTATTTCGTATGTGATAGACTCCTAAAGTTTGTAAATTTGTTTAGAAGAACATGATTGGAATTAATATCAATATGAAACCAAATTCCGATCATTAATATGATCTTCCTGACAGTCTGCACTGCAGACTGTCAGGAAGATCATATTAATGATCGGAATTAACATCAATATGGTTTCATATTGATATTTAAAATAGGTTTGAAAACTATCAAAAATCTATATATTATCTTCTTTATTAACATTTTATGACCTTCGTATTTTTGTTAGGAAGAGCATATTAATGATCTTCCTAACAAAAATATATACTCTAGTTTCAACAAAAGTCATCATCTGTGATTGCTTAGAACAGACAGTCAATATTACTTCAAAAACGTATTTTAAATGTAGCTGCCAAGCTTAAAATCTGTCCTATTGTCGTATGGTTGCATCTCATCCCCTTTTCTTTTAATCATGGTCAATGCTTAAATGAGCTTTTATCTCTTGTTCCATCAACCAAAACTCAACCTTGTGTGACTGATGAAATATATAAATATATGCCAGTTTTAAATAAAAAGTAAATATAAGCATAATATTATAATATATAAAGTATTATAAACTTTTTTCTAGTCCCGGCTATCAACCCTTGCTAAATCTTATAGTTTTGCCTGGGCCAAAAAAAATCTCATTTTTAGCCGGAGCTGGGGCCCTGGTCATATACTTGGTGTGAAGTACCATGTAATAACACTATAGCATGAATGAGGAAATGGTCATGTTCCAAAATATGTTTATAATAGAAAAGCATTATCATTGTATTTCAGATGAAAAACGGAAAACAATCATTTTTGAAATAAACTAATAAATGCATAACAAATTGTAATGCTTTTTTTAAGGCACGGTTATTACAAAAAAGAAATTAAAAAAGAGAGCAAATTGACATTCAAATGTTTCTAATTAGATTGGACAAACTAAAAATTCCATTATAAAAAACTAAATAATCAGTCATTGATCTCTTTCATAGTCAACACTTTCTATTATTTAAAATTCAGTTTATAATATTAAGCATTTTTTATAATACATTTAAAAAAGTAAAACATTCTTTTTGAATGTTATAATTGCTTTATTTTGCTCAAACTCATAATTATGCAATATAAAATTATTATGCACTAAATTATTGCATGCTTTTTATATTATGTAATGAATTGTTGTTTAATTCTTAATCTTCCTTAATTTTTCTATTAGAGTATTTAGAAAATATTTTTAATAAGCAGTAAAAACTTTTATAGCACTTTTATAGTTTGTATAGCACTTTCATAACTTTTTTTTATCTAGAGCAGATGAGTGTTGGGTTCCAATTATCAACCTAATTTGTATCATCGATGCACCTGTAACACCAATTGAATGTATGTACTTTGAACGTTGACGCATCTAAGCAAATATTAACACAACTTTAATTATTTTTACTTTATATATTTTTATTTTACTTTGTAAATAAATTTTTTGAAAACAATATTTTCAAAGTTATCTTTACATTATTGAAAATGCAAAAAAAAAAAAAAAAAAAAAAAAAATTATAAGAAAATAAGTAGGGCATGGCCCCAGTGCCCAGGCCAATAGAGCCTTAAGTCATCTGCCCTCGAAACAATTTTAACATACATTCATCAAAACTACTCAAATGCTGAAAGTTTCAGAGCTTTAGTTTGTCTGGATAGTGAAAAAACGTTTTACTACTTTCCAGACAAATTGAAGACAAAAAAGTGGGGCACTTATCCCAGTCCCCCTAATGTCCTGGGGCCCTGAAAATAATTTTAACATGCACATATATTGGCACTACAAAAACGCCAAAATTTTCAGAGCTTTATCTAGTCTGGAAGGTAGTGAAAAATCAATTGCAATATTCTGCTACAAAAAAAGTGGGGACCATGTCCCATTATCCATATATGGAAATCTATATATTTGCAGATCAAAATCTTTATATTTTTTGAAAGATATTTTTTTCATCTTGATATCATCAAGGCCACATGGGTATCTTGAGCATTAAAAACAAGTATACAAAAAATTGCCTAAATTTTTTTAAGTTGGTAATTACAGGTACTTAATAATAATATTTTACACTTCGGTTCATTTCATTGGATTCATCACCCTAAAAATAGCTAGTTACAAATTTTTAAGTAAAAAAATAATTTTTAACTAGCTATTTTTAAAGTTATGTAACTTATAACCTCCAAATAAATGTTGCAATTCTGAGGGGACAAGAGGGGCCTGGTCAATATTCAGGATTTATTACAGACAATATTACATCCCACCCCATGTAGCCTAAGAACCAAAATAATGGTTCTGGTTTTGCAAACTATTTATTTTCATCATATATTTCAACATTTATATTTATATTTCAACAATCGACCTTTTAATAATATTCTGTTAAGCAAAATACATTTATATATTTTTCAAATTAATTTCTTTGGAAATGTTTTCTGTTACAAACTTCTAACTGAGTTACATAAATAAATGTTTTTCTTCGCCTGGACCAAAATCATAAAAATGAAGAACTTTATGGTTTGATTTTCATTTGGAGTTACATATCCCTTTTAGCACATAAGTTTTATTATTAGTTTTTATTAAAATTTTTTTTAACTAGCATAATCAAAAAAGAAAACAACAGATAAATAGTTGCATAAAGTATGTGGACTTAAGATATTTAATTTGTAGAATTTTCTATACTCAAGACCCTTTTAGGACTATCTTAATTCCACTTGCCTTATTAATTATGAAATATGATAGCATTTGCTATAAACAGACAGAAAACAATTATGTTTAATGCTCTTGATCAAACACAGTCACAGCTGACCCTAATTCCAATTGTTGTATGAATATATATATATATATATATATATATATATATATATATATATATATATATATATATATATATATATATTTATATATATATATATATATATATACATATATTTATATATATATATATATATATATATATAATATATATATTATATATATATATATATATATTATATATATATACATTTATACATATATATATATATATATATATATATATATATATATATATATATATATATATATATATATATATATATATATATATATATATAATGTATAT